GGAATAATAATAATCATAATAATAATATAATAATAATATAATAACACATAGTAACGAAACACGCGTACTTCGCAAAGAAACGAAGAGGTGTGTGCATGTAGGTCGTTCTAGTGCGAGCGTGTGACCGGTTAGTATGCTACAACACAAAAGCGCATAAAATGATTGTGTGCATTCGACCTGTTTCTCCGCTGGACGGAAACCTGGAGTATATAGCTCTGTGACTAAAAGCTTGTCTGAGGTGGACGATAGAGTACAGTATATTCTTAATGATTAAAAAAGCGCTCCCATTTATTCGCCGACGGCCTTTGAAAACCAGTAGCGTTTAACCTGTCGTCAACACACCTGCTAACCTCGCCATAACGTAATTATAGGTAAGCCGTGCACGTAACAACAGGATATCAGCTGCTTGGTTAAATTGGGGCACGTGTTGTATATCAACATCATTGTAGAGCCAACCGTGGGTGATGTCTACCTGCTAGCACCAAACCGTTATAACGATCGCTAATAACTAAACAAGCAAACTAAACTACCTAAACGTAGATAATAACTAAACTAGCAAACTAAACAACCTAAACGTAGATAATAAAAAAACGATTTGCTGTATTATAGCTTCGTTCGGCGATTGACGGCGTATCTCTGCTAAATGAATACGTAGAATATAGTATAATTTCGATAAAAATAGAAATATAATAATTCTATTATATATAATAATAGTAATACAGTAATAATAATGTGCAATGTATGAGATTATAATATGTAGACTAAGAGGGTATTAAATTAATCCGACTTACTCAGAACATGAATGAACTCGCCTATACGCTTAAATATTTTTCTAATAATAACAACGCAGTGGCTACGCATCCGGTTATCCATTACAAAGCTCAGCACAGATTCCCAAATCTACGTCACGATTAGGCCACGCTCCGTTTCAAATCGTTGATTTTATTGGATTTACTATTGCTTCAAAGGTTACAAAAACACTTTTTTTTTGTGTAAAATACCTAAAGGTAAGTAATATTATGGTAAAAACTTATTGTTTGTTGTTTTGTACTGAAAAAATATAGTTGGGTTCACATATGAAATGTATGACCGGACGCGTAGCCTGGGAGCAGGGCGTCCGGTAACCGGACGCGTAGCCACGGCCTAACAATAATAGCAATGAGAGTAATAACAATGAAAGAGATGACGCCGAAGGAGTGGAATATTTCAATATCTGCGCGCGTTTGCTCTTATGCTTTATACGTCCTTGTCTATCTATCGGAGCGTAGGATAGCGGAACTACATATTAGCATATCATTAAGACATTGTGAGCAGGCACCAGGACTGTGCGTGGGTAGCGTAGCAGGTAGACCTACATACCTGTCAATATACCTATATACCTGCCTACGTACGTACCTACCTACGAACCTATCTACTTGCCTGCCTGTCTGCCTGCCGACCTAACCACCTACCTACCTACCTACCTACCTACCTACCTACCTACCTACCCACCTACCTACCTACCTACCTACCCACCTACCTACCTATCTACCTATCCTACTACGTACCTACCCTACCTTCCCTGACCTACCTACCTACCTACCCGTACTACCTACCTACCTAGCTAGCCTAGCCTACTTACCTACCTGGCCTAACCTAGTCTACATAACCTACCATACCTACCTATCCTACCCTGCGCCTACTGGCCTAACCCACCTCACCCCACCCAACATACCTACCTACCTACGCTACCAACCTACGCTATGCCTACCTATAGCCTACCTACCTACCTACCTACTACCTACCTACCCACCTACCTACCTACCTACCTACCTATCCTACCTACCTAACACTACGCTACCTACCTACCCCTACCTACCTACCACACTACCCTACACTACCCTACCATACCTCCCTACGCTACCTACCTACGCTACCTACTACGGCTACCTACCTACCTACCTACCTACCCTAGCCATACCTACCATACCTACCTACCTACGCTAACCCTTACTACCGGCTACCTACTCTACCGTGACCTACCTACGCTACTACCTACCCTACCTACCTACCTACCTACCATACCTACGGCTGACCTACTACTCTACCTGTCCCCTACCTACCTACGCTACCTACACTACCTACGCTACCTACCTACCTACCTACCTACTACCTACCTACCTACCTACCTGAACCTACCTACCTACTACCTACCCGGACCTAACCTACCTACCTACCTACCCTACCACCTACCTACGCTACCCCTACCCATACCTACGCTACCTAACCTACCTACTCTACGCTACCTACCTACCTACCTACCAACCTAGCCTACCTCCCCTACCTACCCCTACCTACTAACCTACCCCTACCTACCTACCTACCTACCTACCTACGCTACCGCTACTAAACGCTACCTATACCTAACCTACCTACCTACCCTACGCTACCTTGACCTAACCTACGGCTACCTACCTACCTACCTACCTACCACCTACCTACCTACCTACCTACCTACCTATCTACCTACCTACCGTACCTACCTACATACGCTACCTTACTACCCTACCTACCTACCTACCCTACCTACCTACCTACTGCTACCTACTACTACATAGCCTACCTAAGCCTACCTACGGCTACCTACCTAACCTACTACCTACCTACGTACCCTACTACCTACACATCTACCTAGCTAAACCCTAACCCTACCTACCTACCTTACGCATACCTACTCTACCTACGCTACCCTCACCGTACCTACCGTACGCTACGCTGACCTACCCCTACCTACTACCTACCTACCTACCTACCTGACCCTACGCTACCTACCTTACCTACGCTACCTACCTACCCTACTACCTACGCTACTATCCTAGCTCTACCCTACCTAACCCTACCTACCCTACCTACCTACCTACGTGACCTTACCTACCTACTACCTACCTACCTACCTCCCTACCTACCTACCTACGCGTACCTAACCTACCCTACCGTATCCTACCGTACTAACCTACCGTACGCTTACCTACCACCCGGTACCGTACCTACCTAGCCTAACCTACCTCGCTACGCTACCTACGTCTACCTACCGTACCTAGCCGCATACCTACCGGTACCTGCCTACCTACCTACCTACCTCCCCTTACCTACGCGTACCTACCTACCTACGCGTACGCTATCCTACTCTACCTACCTACCTACTCTACCTACCTAACCCTACCTACCTACCGTACCTACCTACCCTACCCCTACCTACTACCTACCTACCTACCCTACCTATCGCTACCGTACCTACCTACCTTACCATACCACCTACCTACGCTACCCTACCTACCTACCTACCTACGCTACCTACCCCTACTCTACCTACCTACCTACACTACCTACCTACCTACCGTACCTACGTTCTACGTTTACCGTCCCTATCCTACCTATCCTACCGTACTTACGTACCCTTACGCTACCTACCTACATACCTACCTTCCTACCTAACTTTCCATTTATACCAAACCAATCGAAACACGTACCTCTTTTTAATACTTTTTTTAATACCTTTCAAAAAGCATACGTACATACCGCTCGGCGTTATTCCTTCGTTCCTTTTTGTTGCCTCTCGATCACCGACCTTCTGCGTTCCTCTGACGCCCGCTTTGCGATATTGTGCGACTACAGAAGACCGTCTGTCTGCCTGACTGACTGGCAATGTACTTCTCTGCATATGCGTGCGTGGGTCTACCTAGGCTCCCTCTGGGTTCGACAGCGTCAATTAAGTTTTCTCCTGCGTCTTTCACACATCAGGCGAGCGCGCGCGTGATTTGTTGACGCGCGACAGTGCGTGACAGCAAGAGAGTATATAGAGCAAGCGTGTGTGTGGGAGGGGGGTGCCGTGTGTGTGTGTGTGTGTGTGTGTGTGTGTGTGTGTGTGTGTGTGTGTGTGTGTGTGTGTGTGTGTCTGTGTGTCTGTGTGTCTGTGTGATAGAATGATTCATTAAGTTAACACCGAATAACTGTGTTGTGCGTGCATCAAAGGGTGTATGTTTCGTAGAAGGGTGTGCAGTTATTGAATGTAGGGTGCGAGAGAAGTTAGCAAGTGTTTGCGTCCGGAAAGAGCTGAGTGAGAGCGATAGATAGACGGAAATGTAGCTGCGATCGAAAGCTGTTGATTTAGGGGGTGGTGGTGACGATGACGTAGAGGCGGCGAGGAGGAGAATGGGGATGAGGTGGTGGGAAAGCGGAGGAGGAGGAGGGACCAGAGAAAGAAGAATCGAGAAGAAGAAGAAACAAGGAGAACGAAAAGAAGAAAGAAACAGAAGAAGAAGAAGAAGAAGAAGAACAAGGAAAAGGAGAAGAAGAAGAAGAAGAAGAAGAAGCAGGAGAAAAAGAAGAAGAAGGACAAGGAGAAGAATGACAAGGAGAAAGAGAAGAAGAAGAACAAGGAAAAGGAGAAAGAGAAGAAGAAGAACAAGGAAAAGGAGAAGAAGAAGAAGAACAAAGAAGGAGCAGAAGAAGAAGAAGAAGAAGAAGCAGAAGATGAAGAC